AATACAACAAATGATCTCTTCTTTCCATATCCCATCTCTTATCTATAAACAAATCCTTAAAGTCTCATTGTTTCAGTCCTGATCAGCGAAAGTCCATTAAAGGTTACCAGAGATGACAACATATCTATTTTAACTTTGATCAGATAAACTAACTTTATATTCCTTTTACTTCTAACAATCTTGATCTTTAGTCCCCTCAAATAATGTCCTAGAACTTGATTTCTTTTTATTTTTTCTTTGTCCCTTCTCATAACAATCTTTGAAGTTTTAACAAGCCTCTTTTGTAAATCCAGTGTAGGAAAATTACCCAGGTCACTCTCTTGGTTTGTTATGTGTATATCCCTTTTAATTATTAAGACATCAGGCGGTTTCTTTTGTATGGCCAGTAGAGCATGTTTTTTCCATATCATTCTTGTAGCCTGTCATTTTTAAATCCACTTTCAGATCAGTCTCAGTCTTGTCAGGTAAAACCTGTTCCTCTTTCATAACATCTTTTAAACACAGTCTTATCTATAATAGAGGCAGACACTCTTGAAATTAACTTCTGGGTCCATTGTTCAAAAACATCCTTCAGTGTGTCCAGTATTAAAATATTTTGCTTCATTCTGTATTAGTAAGTCAAATTTAGGTGTTCTTCTCCTATAATTGTAATCTTTAGTTCCTTCTGGTTCCCTCTAGTGTACAACCTTCAAAGTCTCATCCTATCACTTTTTTTTTAAAGAGAATTCAAAACAAAAGCATTTTTCCACAGCAAGTCTTCTTCTAATTAATTCCAAAATCTTATTTCAAATCCATCTGGACCCTGAGTCCATTTGTAACTTTCCAAAATCAAAGTTCTAATCACCCTTTTACTGTTTATTAAAAAAAAATTAAGTCCTTAAACTTGTATTTAAAACTTCCTTTGCTAAGGGTTGGAGGAAACTCACCTGATGTTTTCAGACTTGTCAATCCAAAGGTTCCTAATAGCTGAAAAACAGTTAACAAGCAATTTCCAAAAGTGATTAGAAAAAGAAATGTGCAAACCCAGTGTCCTTTTAAAAGTGCTGACTGCGGTTTGAGTGAGATGGCTTTTCCCTCATCTCCCAGAGCTCTAAACCTGCTGAAGGCTGATGTGTTGCAGTCTCCTTGTGAGAAACAACTGTCTGGAGCACTTGTGGGCAATCTCAGTTCCTCTCCTTATCTGGAGAGGAATTACAAAGAGCCGGTCTACTTGCTGGCTCTTCATTCTGTCCCAGTTGTTTGCTCTGCTTTTATGCTGGCCATGGAATTCTGGGCGTTGAAGTACACATGTCTTAAAGTTGCCAAGGTTGAGAATCCCTACTCTATTCATTTATGGTAACTTTTCCTTGTACTTAGCCATTTGGGGTATCCAACTTTTTAAGGGAAACTACAAATCCAAATTTTAAAATGGCCTTTTCTGTATTTTCAGAAGATGATGATGCAGCCTGGATGGTGTAACAGAAAGACAACACTGTTAGTTTAAAATTCAAATCAAAGCTTACCATGATTCAGAAAAACATGTTTGTTCTTTTTCAAAGTATACTGAGCAAATATGGATCCTATTACACATCCAACAAGTTGTCATTTCATCTAAACTTTAAAAAAAAAACCAAAACCTGGTGTCTAGGAAACATTGCTCTTTTGAAAATGGTTGCATTATAAAGAAGGTTCATGAGGTTTTTCATTTTATGTGAACTCTTACACTTAATAACTTTGAAATGAATTTTGAGGCTCACAGAGTCGTGTACTTGAGATGGGTGGCCACATAAATCAAATAAATAAATAATAAAAGTAAATAAATAATTTTGAAATGGTGCATCCAGAGAGGAGACAGAAATTTAACAATAAAGACTTGAAAATATTTTTAAACCTTTACCTTGGATGTGATTTCTGCAATTTTCTCTCTAACCAGAGTATGTTACTGTAACTTGGAATTGCCAAAATCAAATATATGCTTAAGTTTTCTTTAAACACCTGTAGATGGGAGCAGATAAATTCAGCTCTTAGACCATGCTTACCGTACACAGTTGTTTTGAAAATTATTAAAGTTGCTGACTTTTAATAGAGAAAAGCCCGCCTGCCTGCCTGCCTGCCTGCCCCTCCCTCCCTCCCTCCCTCTGTCAGAACCTGTATCAATCAAATGTCAATTTTAAAAAGCTATAGCAGTCAATGAGTGTTTGCTTGATTTGTTTCTGCCATTTGTACCTGGGGGGCGGGATGGTAGTTTATAGTTGTGCTTGGGTTATTGCTATGAGATGGATAGGCGCTCACACTGATATGGGAATT